CATAATGAATTGCTTCATATAACCGCGTATGCCTCGGACGATTCACATTGTAGTAAATTATGGGAAAAAGTATGAAGAGGAAGAAATAAATAAAACTAATTAATAACGACAATGACGACACGTGCGGTATTCAAGAAATGCTCATTATTATACACCCCCGTATATTTTGGTGGGTTTGTTTGTTTGACAAATAGGAAACACTTGTATGCGCTTCGCTGCCGACGTAGAGACAGATAATGGTGTCGGAGCTCGAAAATATCTTGTCAGACATTTCGGCAGGCTCCTCTCAAGCACATTCATCTCTCGTCATGGCCTTTTTATACGTCCCGGGCCTCATCGTATACATGTCATCCGTTTGGAACAGTTAACAGTGGCTTACGGCCTCCAGCTTACAAATCCGTGAGGCAGGGTTGTTTCGAAATAATATGAACTAGCAGTTACCTGTTACGGAACCCAGAGATTCGTCACCGTCAACAAAACAGACCACCTGAGACTACACAACCCAATTCATATTTGCAAACTAACTTCTGTTTAGCAAAGAATTGCTGTAAATACCCTCTTTCAACAAGTTTTCTTTCCAGATTTTTTTTCTGACTACAGATCCAGAAGTTCCGGTTCGATTCCCGACGCTACCACATTTTCTGAGAAGTAGTGGGTCTGGAACGGGGTCCACTCAGCCTCGTGAGGATAATTGAGGAGCTACTTGAATGGAAAATTAGCGGCTTCGGTCTAGAAAACCAAATTAACTGCCTTTGGGATTCATTGCGCTGACCAAGTGATACCCTCTATCCCCAAAAGTTGGCACTAACTTCACCGATAAGCGGCGGTCGTTCGGTCGGTATAGTTCGCTTGCGGACTAAAGCCACGGATTCTGGTTTGCTTCTTCTTGCCATCATGAGATCTGTAGTTTATTCAGTCATTTAAAAAATGCACACTTAATCGCAATAATAATAATAATGATAAAGAGTACTAATCTAGCTGAGTCGGTGTAGCGATTAGGTATGAGCAGAGAGCCGAGATTCGATTCTCAGCAGAGGCAAGACATTTATCTGTATTACGCAGCTTCAGAACAGAATCTGAGGCACAACCAGCCTCCTACCGAATGTAGTAGATCTGTAGTTTATTCAGTCATTTAAAAAATGCACACTTAATCGCAATAATAATAATAATGATAAAGAGTACTAATCTAGCTGAGTCGGTGTAGCGATTAGGTATGAGCAGAGAGCCGAGATTCGATTCTCAGCAGAGGCAAGACATTTATCTGTATTACGCAGCTTCAGAACAGAATCTGAGGCACAACCAGCCTCCTACCGAATNAAGATGGAGCTGTACCTACATTCCCACGTGTGTCTTCATTGTATGGTGCTTCATTATATTTACCCTCATAATTCAAAATATGGAGCCCCTAATTTTTCAGTGTTTTCCAATCTGTTTCTATACCTTCTTTCTCTTACGTCTAAACATGCCCCGCGCCAAGCTCCTTTAACTAGAAGAAGAGCGCAATTAACTAATTAACTAGCCAACTAACCAACTGTCTGATAACAGAACCTAAGAATATAGAACTCCGAATTTAAGGGCCGTGGTGAACAGCAAGCAGTGCATGTACCATGCATGATATATCAGGACCCCAAAATTGGCATATGAATTCCTCTAAAATATTTTTCATTCAATTTTAAATATGTGAAGTTACAAAGTACGTGATGAGAATTTGTAAAACTTTAACGGCCGAGGGGATTCGTTGCGCTGACCACGCTAAAGTTGGCACTAACTTCGCCGATAAGCGGCGGCCGCTCGGTGAGTCGGTATATTCGCTTGCCGACTAAAGCCACGGAGTTTGTTCCTTTTGCCTTATTAGTATACCTGAATCAGTATCAACCGTATGACTAACCTGACGAAGGCAGCACATGGTGACGTTAAAATTCAACATCGCTGCTGTATGCTGAGCTGTAGAGATTCAGTGCATCATCATAATATCATTCTGTGGGGTTCATTTGAGTATTACTCTCTCGTTTCCCTATTTCTAAATAGTCACTTCTTAAGTATTTACATGCCAAATTTCTGCAAGTATTTCTCTTCTTCTCTTGTTCGAGACATATACCCAGACCTTCGTAACACCTGTAAGGCTACTATGTAAGTTTAATAGGCCACTCCATTTCCCTTTGCGTAATAATTTTAATTCCCACTTTATGTATTAATTACTCAATTTAAACTATTCTAAATATCATAACATATAATTAATTTGTTAAAATTTGTAGGATTTAAAGATTACCGTATTTGAGAGTGACACCATAATATCTGGTAAAAATTTACAGACGTTACGGAGTAGAAGAGATAGACAGCATGTTCCTCCTAAACGTCGACAAATTTCTGCCAGGGTACATGGCACAATATCCCAGTATTTTTCACTCTTAACGCTCTTTAGAACCTCAGATCTAACTTCGAAAATTTTGTTTCAAAGGCTTCAAAAGAGTACGAGATATAGCTGGCTATTTGACCTACTTTCATAATCTTACTTGCAAGATTTATTTAAAATAAATGTAAATTCACTTTTTGGATCGACATAGCTATATTAAATAATGATAATTGACTACAGCAGTCGATTACATTGACCGCGCTGTCTAAGATATGAACACTGGGGGTGTGGGTTCGAATGCCACTCTAGGTATGAATATCTGTCTGCGTTATACTGTTTCTGTTACCCTGTGTATGTGGCGACCTTGCGACGGGCTGGTCACAAGTCCTACGTGACATATCAACTCTCTGTGAGATCCAAATTCCAGAAGAAATTTATTCTAATTGGGCACAGGCCAAAGAGATTAATTCGTCCAGATATAAGAAGTAAAATGAAATAGCCATTATGCCGTTATTCATTAACGATATGTGGAGATTTTTGTCCTCACTACTGATCCCATTTATATGAATAAGGATCCTTGAGCATGCGTGCGGGACAAAATGGCTGCAATTTACTAGGATAAAAATTAGCCACGATTAAATCCTAAATCACCCGTGACGATTAGCTGCATCATATAAGCAAAAATAATATGAACATGTGTTGTAATACTGGAAAACAAACAACTCACTCAACTTACAAATGGAAAGGCATAAATTTTGATGCAACTGTACTCAGAATCTACTCCGCATACCAAACCCACATGGACTCATCTGGGCAGTAAAAAGAAAGAAAGAGAACTCTTTAGTTTGACAAAGGCAATAGATTTATTTCAGCACTAGAAATTGCTGGATAGTCCATCAACTACCTGACTTAAGCTACCTCAATCAACTACAGTGAATCATCAAGATTTTATTTTTCTCCCGAGAAATTTATCACTCTGCATGTTTTAATAATGGCCCATAATGAGGTCGACATTCCGACCGCATGAAGGCATCAAGGCGGTCGGTGAAGTTACGGGATAATTTAGTTCTTAGAAGAAGCTTTCTTCTGAAGCCGAGCTCTCAGTTCAGCAACAAGCTCTGTAGTTCCACTAAAAGCGCAGGATTGCTCATGGCTGTAGAACTGGAAGAAGCGTAGTTGGTCAGCGCGCCTTTACTGACCTCACACCTCAGGTTCATGACTAGCATTAACATGCAAACTACTGAAGAACTAACGAACAGACATCCGTACCGGACACTTCCTGTTTGTAACTTAAACATTCAGTGAAGTAGATTAACTTCGCTAATTCTGATACTGGGGTTTGTAACACAGTGTTTATTGCCACTGTCTTCAATTCTGAATTTCCAGTTCGAATCTCGGAGAGTGAAAGAGTAAAACTAAAGTAAAGCTATCCCTGTAACAGGCCGTAGAGGTCCATAGGCTTCTGAGACGTTGAGGGTCCCACATTACCTAGACAATTGGCTCAAAGATGGCGGTAAGGTTATCAGACTTACGCGTCGGCCATGCTTTACTCCCATGGAAAATTATTTAATTAAATCCTGGAACTCATTTCTGTAAGGGGCTGAGTCGAACCCAGGGCCATAGTGCGGCTGGAAGGATTAGGTCAATTGAAAAAATCCAATGACCTCATTGGAAGTTGAACACGCGACCTTCCGGCTTGTAGAATAGTGCCTCAAACAACCACGCGAGCGAAAGGGTTAGGATGAAAAATATATATACGTTTCTTGAAATAAATACATGAAATTAATATATGTGTGATTTTTCAGAAAGGCAGGAAATAAATTCTTTTTTTTTTTGTTTTTGTTTTATCAAAGCATTCCGAAGCTTACTTAAAAAACATTTGTAATATTTTACCATCAAAAGTGAAGCCCATTTCTTCTTGATCCTAATCCTAATGCTCCCTTTTATGAGACGTAACAGATCCAAAAGTTGACGTAGGATGTAGAAGATCTCTTAGCAAGGCTAAGCTTTGGGTGCCCATATGGTTATGCAGCTAAATACAGTGGCGAGGATGCAGATCTCCGTATATCCCAGTGATCTGAGCGTCATTTGCTACGCGACTGATCCCCGGATTTATTGTAATGACGTCACTTGTAAACTGCACGGAAATGAGTTGTCTCAATGTGCAGAGTACTCATATGACACCGCAAAAGGACTCTGCACATAAACCAAGAAACAACTGAATGCCGGAAACATGGATTATCAGTTGAAAAATGAACAAATTTAACTACTTTTGATAAAATTCAACAATAATTTCAACTAGTTGTAACCAAGTTTTCGAAAAACACACTAGAAAAAATAATCTATGTTTCTATGGCTCTAAGGCTCTTTGTCGGGCTTTGCCGGCGTTTTTAGTTCCTTGATCTTTTGCACAGACGGTCGGACACCTTGGACGGGGGATGAGTCTGTCGCAAGGCCGCTACCTACACACAGAACAGCACAGACACAGAACAAACATACATACAGACATCCATGCTTGAAGTGGGATTCGAACTCACGATTCCAGTGTTTGAGCTGGCTAAGACAGTTCACGTTTTAGAACGCGCGTCCACTGTGATCGGCAGAAAAGCTAATAGAGTTCAGAAATAACGTAGAAGTATATATTTACCTGATGATGAGCTTATGAAGTTGAACCCAGTCGTAAATGTGACAACGTGGTTCTCCGCCAGTCTGTAAGCACGAAAATAAGTTGCACTTTAGGACTGTCCCTGCAATTTAAAAGCGTGAAAAGAAAAAGGTAAACTTGCCCTTCTTCTTAAGTAGTTAAGCAATATGCGATGAGAATATATGAGTGAGTGGAGGTACAGCTCCACCATTCTTGACCTCAACAATAGATGGAGATGAATTGTCAGCTTCACGCGCGTTCCTGCAACTTTGGCCACAGAGAAAGAGCCCGAGGTACCCTTTTGATGAGAGGCTGGGTGGGCCCCAAAGGCGGTCTTGCACTGCGGGAATTCGAAACCGGACTATCCAGTTAATTCGTATTCACATATTAATTGTATTTAGTTCTCAGAGACAGGAAATATCAGAGTGATGTGAAAATGCTGCATAACGAGGCACTTCATACTTTGTACCTTTTACTAAGTATTATTACAGTATTAACAAAGAAACAAACTCCGTGGCCTGTAGTCCGCAAGCGAACTATACCGACTAAGCTACCGCTACTTGTCAGCGAAGTTAGTGCCAACTTTTGCGGAATTCGATTCCCGACGCTACCAGAGTAGCTGAGAAGTAGTGGGTCTGGAACGGGGTCCACTCAGCCTCGTGAGGATAATTGAGGAGTTAATACAGTCTTGGGCTTACGAAACGTTGACTCCGCGGACAAATATATATCGTGATTTTACTTGCTCTCTTGAAGAATACAACTTCTATAGACCCACCATATCCTTGTACACGAACCACTCAATAACTACGTGACACTGACAAGAAAACAGAGGAGAATTATTCTCACTGCTCAATAAATCCAGACCCGTGACATCACATATGCTTTTACTGTGTGAGCTGCGTCAAGCGATTTCTAAACAACAAAAGAGAGGCTGGAATTTAGCGCTTCTACAGGTGAACCTTCGGGGCGTACATATACTGCCTCCTCTAATTAGGTCTGTAGCATATTATGCGTCTGTCAAACTTGGATCTATGCATTTGTTCAGTTATAATATTTATGAAAGAGTCTCCATTCATCTTTGGGTGGACAATATTAGAATGGATCTTAGAGAGATAGGATGGGACGGTATGGATTGGATAAATCTGGCTCAGGATAGGGACCAGTGGAGGGCTCTTGTGAACACGGTGATGAACCTTCGGGTTCCATAAAATGCTGGGAAATTCTTGAATAGCTGCAGAATTGGCGGCTCCTCAAGAAGGGCTCAGCTCCATGAGTAAGTAAGTAAGTAAAGTCTTCATTCATCTTATAACCAAAAGGTCACTGAGAATGATGTATGAATGATGATGGGTTCATCTTGTTCATTTGTCCCGATATTCAAAACCGCTAAGCTAAATTAATATTTTAAGAACACCCTTATATATGTATAGGGGCTCGCGGTAGCGTAGTGGTTGAGGAGCTGTGATACAAGACGATGAGGTCATTGGATTTTTTCAATGGGCCAGAAGTCAAGTGACACTGCAAGTGGTGATTATTGTAAGGTGTGTAAGTGTGAGTGTGAGTGTCCAACAAAGATTCGCTAAATCCGAGACTCACGTACAGTTATTTGTCACGTGACGTACTCAACACGTGAAAGAAAAAAAAATAGATAAATGCGCTGGATTGGAGGATCTCACCACGGTAACTACTAAGACTTTTGTCTTTTGGAATGTAATACTCTGTTGAAAGAACCAACAATTCGGAGATACTTGCCTGCTGCTTTTTGCTTGATCTACCCTTCATCTCTGAAGATTAGGCGACATATCCTCCTCGAGATATAGGTTTAGTTTCAACGGAGTAGGCAGCCTTATATCCCAGCAGACACAAGTATTCATATATGCATATATGCATTTATATGTATTTAACTACGTACCTTCTCCCTTGGAAGCTAGTCTTCGCTCAGCTAGTTAAATAAGGTCTAAAATTTCATAGAATCAGTAGAGTCATTAATTTATTCACAACATCTCTCTCCTAAACTAAATGTATCCAGCCTGCTCTTACTAAGTTACCCATTCACACGGTTAAACTATTTCATATTCTGTAATTGCTGTAAAGTTATATCTGTAACAGGCCGTGGAGATAGACGGTTGTGAGAAGTTGAGGCTCCCACACCTTCTAGAAATCATCTCACAGAAGGCGTAAGGTTGTCAGCTTTACCCGCCGGCCGCCCTTTACCCACCAGGAAAATTTCTGTTACTCATTTCTGTTAGAGGCTGAGTCGACCCCACGACCATAGTGCGGCTGGAATGATTAGTTAAAACGAAATAAAAAAATTCCACCTCATCGGGACTAGAACCCGTGACTTTCCGGCTTGTAGCATAGTGCCTCAAGAAACTACGCTAACGCCTGCTCCCTACAATTACTGTAGGTTCCCTTCTTTTTTGTTGTTTCAACCCACTGCTTTCACGTTTTAACACCATGGTAACGGTTTAGGAGCGATTTTTATTTACAATTCATTTTGCCTGGTTAAAACGAGCCGAGCGGTTACATGTCACATAAATGTGAAGTTTTATTAATATCCGATAAAGTTTACAGTGACATTACCATTGTACCCGCTGTAGGAACAATAACAAGAGGATATTTAAATTCTACAAATCTCCCTAATTAAAATTGATGAACTAGTTTCCAGGGGGTTAGGAAGAGGAGATGTAAATTATTACGTCACATGTTCTCCCATCCTTCTCCAGTGCAAGGCAATCGTGCCTTAATATGTGAATAAAACAAGCCCTCATGGATTTTGATTTCCGACAGGGATTATTTTATTGCAAAACATAAATACCATTGCACACACTGGACCATGATGAACGTTCGGGGTCACCACATGACTCCAAAAGGCTGTGAGGCGCGCAGCAAATTACAAATCCGATTTTCATTGTTAACTTTACAGAGATACTGATTAGTAGCAATGATGCACGTTAGATGTCAACCAAGACAAATAAAACTAAAACATTCCTTGGCTTTAGTTCACAAGCGAAATATACCGACCGACCGAGCAATCGCCTCTTGTCGGCGAAGTTAGTGCCTGCTGTAGCAGATAAAGGGTGCCGCGGGGTCAGCACAACGAATCCGTCACTTTCTCATTCCAATAGCTCCTCAATTATCCTCACGTGGCTGAGTGTACCCCATCCCAGACACACTACTCCTCAGAACATCTAGTAGCGCCGGTAATCGAGCCCGGGATCTCTGGATCTATAGCCAGGAACTCTGACCACTAGACCACAGAAGCGGCCAAACACATAAATAATTTTTAAAATTAATAATTCCCATTACATAAAGCTAAAAGCTATTATGTATAATCATGAAGATAAAAAACATATATTTGAGTGCATGAAGGAACATGTCATAAAGACACAGAAGACAGAAAGAGAGGCACTAGGAGCCAAATGAAACAGAGTTGTTAACTTAACATATTTTTTATTGCTAGTGGGGTGGGACTAAGTCCCTTGTACTGCGGCCACTTCTGGCCTATTGTACCAGCCCCAGATGATAGGTGGGAGTGATTGTGGAGCAATTGGTTGAATGAAGATTGACAGGGGAAACCGAAGTACTAGGAGAAGACCTGCCCCAGCGCCACTTTATCCACCACAAATCCCACTTGACCAGACCCCGGGATCGAACCCGGGCCGCCGGGGTGGGAAGCCAGCGACTAATCGCTTGAGCTATGGCGCGGCTCCAACTTCACATATTAGCCATTTTGTCTTCAAGACAGAATCATCTGTATCAATTTCAGAGGACGCTGAATGGGTCACACAGTCAGTTCCAGTGCTTTGAAGAAGAGAGTCATTCAAATCCCTGGAGTTCATTGGGTTAGCAACCGCCCTAAAGACCCAGTTACTCTTATCAAATCAACAATGATAAAATTAATATTAGCATGATTTATTTATCCATGATCATTTTACTTATGCTTCATTGTGACACATGGAGCCATTGCTAGGCAATGACTCGGTAAACACATTCCAGCAGATTCAACGCGCACAACAATAGGACATCCGTTGCTGGGCAACAGATCATTAAACACGCATCCTTAACAATAGAGGCTGTGTTTTCTGCGTGATCTGTCCAAAGTGATTATAAGTAAGTGTTCAGCATTATACAGTTAAGTGAAGAGGCGAGTTTCGGCACGACAAGCTGCCAAGATACGAGCTTGGAATTAAACTGAGTTGGCAGTTGCAAAATAATTGCAAGAAGGGAATTAGGCTGTAAAAAGAAAACTTCATGTGTGATTTAAGTGACAATACGACGATTAAAAATCCGTTGCCAGAATACGACTAGTGAAGAGTGAGAACCCTAGTGCTTGCGCAACGGCGAACAATAATGTGTGTAAATCAGCAGTAGCGCTGTGTTACCTGTAGTCCTGAAATGTGTGAATGCATAAGGTGCAATAAATCCAATCATCCAAACAACAGCCGTCTTATACGTCACGCGCAATCCCTACATGTGACTGTGTTTAAATCCTCCCATATGGTAATGCCATCTTATCGAGTTGTAGAGATTCGTAAGCACTGGACATCTCTACTCTGTCGGAGTTCCCCATGCTGGGCACACGGAACTCTGGGTGCCAGATTAGAAGGAACATCCTGGTCCTTGTGACTGGGGGCTGTGCGGATAGGCTGGTAACCTCTCCCGATAAGGCATCTATATGCTTGTACAGTTCGTGGATGAAATTAAAACTATGTAGACTGAATGAAAGAAGAAAATATATCGAAACCAATATTAATGAGTAAAATAAAATTACTAAGAAACTGAGGAAGGAACTGGAGATGGAATGAAAACCTGAAAGTGGAATCTAATTATGAAGAAAGCAGTCTTCTGGGATTTGGCACCGTATATATGTGGTGTTAACCGACGTTTCGGAGGAACGTATCGCCTCCATCTTCAGGGTAGAAGGAAAAATATAAGAAATCCGCAAGCGAAGAGACCGTGAGAACGGACGTTCTCCTGCGAAACGTCGGTTAACACCACATATACACGGTGCCAAATCCCAGAAGACTGGTTCATAATCACCGCCGTGAAAGCCTCAAATCTTACATGA